TGTTATTTGTGTATATAAATGGTTCTTTTTTTTTAATTGCTATGTGGTTTTCCATTGGATAAACTATTTGTTTATCCATTTTGGTGATAAACATTTGATTTTTGAATTATTTTCTATTATAAGCAAGGCTGCAATGAATATTTTTATGCAAGTCTTTTGGTAGCCATCCAGTTTCATTTCTTTGGGGCAAAATACTTAGGAGTGGGTTTACTGGATTATGAGATAGATGTTTGTTTAACTTTAATGATATTTGTCTTGATTAATTAGTGATGAGAAAAATGATTGTCATTTGACATATGCAATTTGATAGATCAGACTTTCAAAATCGAAGTTGTACAAGAGAAAGAAACTAATAAACAGCCTGGGTATTGAAATGGTTGACTGTGTGGTTATTTCACTCACTGCTTTTGTTACAGGAAAAGTGTAAACTCGTACCTTACTTTTTTTTTTCAATATTTAGATGGAATCTGATAATGAATATGAGATCCGTTTTTACTAGTATAGCCTTTTATCTGTTTTTTCTTCCTCTTTCTAATGGACTATTTTAGAAGAAATGGAGCTGTCACCCACATCAAGATTCAGAACACTGGTGACTACTATGACTTGTATGGAGGGGAGAAGTTTGCCACTTTGGCTGAGTTGGTCCAGTATTACATGGAACATCATGGGCAATTGAAAGAGAAGAATGGAGATGTTATTGAGCTCAAATATCCTCTGAACTGTGCAGATCCTACCTCTGAAAGGTCAGTTACATTTTAGTAACTGCAGAGTCTGCATCTCTCCGGTGCCATAGGTGTGATGTGAATGCATTGCGGGGGTTTGGCATCTATCTGTTTCTTGAGCTGCAATCTTGAAAGTTTTACTAAAGTAGGAATAATAGGCTCCTATTATTCTTAGAGTGCCCTTTTCACGCAAAAGCTTTAGTCAGTGTTACTTACACTCATTCTGCAGAGGTCTCAGACTATTCCTGTATGTACTTGGTACATGCAGTAATTTTAAGACTACTGAACTTGAGCGTTGCTGAATTTTGTAAGTTATGAGAACAAATGATAATGGAGACACTAAAATAGTAGCAGTTTCCTGTAGTAGCTCCCGACCAGCTATTCAGCAACGCCACCAACAGATGTCAGTTTAAGCTCAGAAGTGGAAAAGCAGAGAGCTCAGAGGGCCAGATTTTTCATCAGTTCTTTTATGTTATATCCACAAATGTGTGGGCATGACCTTGCTTAGAGGGAACTGTACTGTCTCAGAGATCTTTCCCCCCGTGTTGGAACTAAGCTTTTGAAAGCTGGGGCTTGACTATTTGTATTGATTTTATTGGTTTTCTGCATTCCCAGTCTGCTCTCTGACTCATTACCAAATCAGGGTCTCTTACTTAGGTTTGTATATTTTGTATCTGCGTGTAGATTTCTTCCACTTGTCCCTTCATGTCACTACTATTTTCTGCTGATAATTTGTTTCTCCAGCCAAATTATTAGACAAAAGGCTGTCAGGCAACTCTGTGCAGTTTATTTCTAAATTTTACTCTGTTCAATTGAGGGTAGATGAAAAATACCTCACAGTACATTCCTTTAGTGATAAGCCATTCACACTGTGAGCTGATAATGCTTGTTTTCTCACCAAGATCCCAAGGGGGAAAGCCACATTATTAATATGATTATGTTAAGATATTTTCTGTAGTAACTTAGAGTAGTGTTGTCTCAAAGACCAACCTCAGATGACCTCCATCAGGACTCTGTGTGTTGGTTAAAAACGCAGATCGCTGGACCTCATTCAGACTTAGTGCATTGTTCTGATTCTGAGGCATGGGAATTCACATTTTTAGCAAAATCTCTTGCCCTATCCTGAGTCTTATGTGCTTTAAAGTTTGAAATGGTAACCCAGTATATAGTCCAAAGATTTGACAGCGAACCTGGAGGCTCCTGAAATAGAGGTTGGAAATCTGAAACAGTTTGGAATGCTTAAATTAATTTATAATGAAGATCCTTTTCCCAGGTAGTGTTTACATGCCCAAGCAAGGGCAGCTGTTCAAATGTTTCTCTGTTTCTACCTGAAGTTTTTTATTATAACTTCTTTAAATGA